GCGACGCAACAACCCCCAAATAAGCAAATGCACATTTATCGCAGAGGAGAGCGATCGTCTCGGTAAATAAACCGATAGATAAACGAGAAGAGACAGATAGGTTGTGGCTGCAGCAGCAGCAGCAGCAGCAGCAGCAGCAGCAGCAGCAGCAGCAGCAGCAGCAGCAGCAGCAGGACAAGCAGCAGCAGCATTAGCAGCAGCAACAGAAGCAGCAGATGTAGATGCAGCAGCAGCAGCAGCAGCAGATGTAGATGCAGCAGGAGCAGCAGCAGGAGCAGCAGCAGCAGCAGTAGATGCAGCAGCAGCAGCAGCACGAGCAGCAGTAGCAGCAGCAGATGCAGCACATGCAGAGGCAGCAACGCACACACACACACACACACACACACACAAACCCATAAACCCTACTAAACCCTAAACCCTAAACCTTACAAAACCCTAAACCCTACTAAGGCCTGCTAAACCCTACTAAACCCTACTGAACCCTAAACCCTAAACCCTACTAAACCCTACTGAACCCTAAACCCTAAACCCTACTAAACCCTACTAAACCCTAAACCCTACCCCCTACACCCTACACCCTACACCCTAAGCCCTAAAACCCTAAAACCCTAAACCCTAGACCCTAAACCCTACTAAACCCTACTAAACCCTACTAAACCCTAAACCCTAATAAACCCTAAACCCTACTAAACCCTAAACCCTACTAAACCCTAAACCCTACTAAACCCTAAACCCTAAACCCTAAACCCTACGTATTAAAGTGACAAAGCATGGCTCCGCATGCAAAGAGAGAGACGACGCCACTCAGCCCCAAAACTTCTGCAGTACCGAAAGCAATGTATGCTGTTAGTAAAGTCAATGCTACTTCGTACTGAGGAAACCTGCAGCAGCAGCAGCAGCAGCAGCAGCAGCAGCAGCAGATGTAGATGCAGCAGCAGCAGCAGCAGGAGAAGCAGAAGCAGAAGCAGCAGCAGCAGCAGCAGCAGCAGCAGAAGCAGCAGCAGAAGCAACAGGAACAGCAGCAGGAGTTGCAGCAGTAGGAGGAGGGAATGATAAGAGGGGTGAGAGCAGCAGCAACAGCAGCAGCAGCAGCAGCAGCAGCAGCAGATGCAGCAGCAGCAGAAACAGCAGCAGCAGCAGCAGGAAGAGCAGCAACAGCAGCAGAAGCAACAGCAAGACCAGTAAGATGGTTAAGGAGACAGTTGAGGAGACAGAAAAGGAGACAGATGAGGAGACAGAAAGGAGACAGAAAGGAGACAGAAAGGAGACAGGTAAGGAGACAGAACGGAGACAGAAAGGAGACAGAAAGCAGACAGTATAAGAGAAAGAAAAGGAGACAGGAGACAGAAAGGAGACAGCAGAGGAGACAGAAAGGAGACAGAAAGGAGACAGTTGAGGAGACAGAAAAAGGAGACAGGAAAAGGAGACAGGAAAGGAGAAAGAAAAGGAGAAAGGAGACAGAAAGGAGACAAAAAGGAGACAAAAAGGAGACAAAAAGGAGACAAAAAGGAGACAAAAAG